ATATTTTGGTATGTTGCTAACCAATTAAAGGTATTCTAAGATTTATGATTTTTATCAGGTTAAGTATAAAATAATTCTTAAGGTATATTTTGAGATTTATTATTTTTTACTCATTGGTTAAATGTCCCATCAGTATTGATACCATTAGGCTATGTATTTTTGTTCTAATATCATTACTGTTAAAATAAATATATTAAATATTTTTAAGCTGCTATTGTTTTAATCAAGTTTCATGAATTAATCAAGAATTTTAGTTTTTTTTTTTCTTCTTAAATATATATATTTTAAAAAAGACGTGTTAATATGTTATTTTTTATGCTGGAACTAGCTGAACTGATTTTTGGATGATGTATTTCCAGTGCTGGGGTTGGTAGGACTGGGACATACATAGTTATTGATGCTATGTTAAAGCAAATCAGCCATCGACAAAGTATAAACGTATTTGGTTATCTAAAGCACATACGACAGCAGAGGAACTTTCTGGTTCAGACAGAGGTAAGGTTTGAAGTGCTATGAAAAATGTGTGCCAAAGGCAGTGCAAGTTGGAAACCAGTAAATCCTTTAATTTTGCCAAAAATTGTAACTGTGTTTTGTGCTAAAATATTATTTACATGTAATCAGTATTTATGTTATTATTATTTCATATTTCATTCTTAGATGTATTTTAAATTAGTGCTGTGTTAATAATATCTTCACAGTTGACTGCTTTGCCCATATTTATACAAGATATTAAAATCTGTTTTAGTATTTTTTATTCTCTTAATTAACATTACAGAGTTGTATTTCATCTTAGTCAAGCCCATTAACCCTCTCACCATGGGCTAATTTTATAAGGCAATATGTAAAAAGATTCTAAATATACCCTAGTGTGAGAAATGCGATATTTTTTCTGTAGGCATCCCCTCTTTAATTTATTCACCACCCCTCCAATAAGTACAAAATTTAATGTAACTTACTCACTATAAAGTCATCATCGCGGAGACAAAGCATAATTTTTATAGCCTTCAACCTTCTTTGGTTACAGAGCTATCAAATAGAAAATTGGAACCCTCTTGTCACATCCTTTCTTTCAGGGTTTGTTAATAGTTCTCTCTTACGTTTAATTATATATTACCTATAACCAATAGAAAGCCAAGGTTTTCAGTTATCAAATGACATTATATTAGGTTGTGTTATGAACAGAAAATTGTCAATTTCTCATTTAGTACAAACTTCATTCCAACGGGAAAAATATTAACTAGCTTGGATGAATTTGTAACAGCTCTTGTCGCATAGTTAGAAAGCCAGAAATATTGTGATGGTTATGGGATATTATCTGATTTTTACATGTATTATTCTATGTTTTTGGTGCATTATTTGATTAAATAAAAGTTATTTAATGCACTACTACTGTTAGTATAAAAAAGTAGAGTTAAGTGTCATCAATAGTCGACAGAAAAGAAAAGAAGGTCCAGGTAAGTACTTTATTTCTTGTTTTTCATGTGTATTCTTTACTTATTATTGTAAAAGTATCTAAAATGTAAAAATAGGAATCTCTTTAGGTTAGTTAAGGTTAGATTAGGTAAAATAAATAATAATATAATAAAAAATGTTCATCAGGCATGAACACAAGCAGCTCAGAGTAGCTCATTGGTATTGTAATTCAACAGAGTAATGTAAGCCTCATGTTCTCCAAGTGATTTACAACTTATAACCTGATTTTTCCAAGCCCGTTCCCTTGGCTGTGGTTTCGCTAGATAGTAGATAGGGACAGTGGGAATCTCGTTAATCTATCTAGCTAGACATAGATTCAAAGGGCAATAAAATTTAAGTATAAATAAATGTATACTGTTATGGAGTTTAAAGTTACTTAGGGTAAACAAATAATTTCATGTTACAATTTGAAGTCTTTATAGAAAGAGAAAAAAGGGTAATTATTTTTTTCTATCCTAACTCTATACATCGTTAGTCAATTTGACTGACCTCCTAACCACCAAAAAAATATAAAAATAAATTAAAATTACCCTTTCATCAAATTGTAACATGAAACTACATTTCTTTATTCTAAATAGCTTTAAACTCATAACAATATACATCTATTTATACTTAAATTTTATTGTTTTATTGACCTTTGAATGTGTTTAACTACTATTCACACCCTTATAAGTTGTGAATCACTGGAGGAATGTGGAGCTAACGTAACACTATTGAATTACATTATGCATGAGCCACTTGCGAGCTGCTCAGGAGCATACCTCATAAAATTTTTTTATTATATTATTATTATTACTCATTTTACCTAATCTAATGTTAACTAACCTGAATTTTTTTCTATTTTTACATTTTAGTTAGTCTTATAATAATAGTAATAATAATAATAATAATAATAAAGAATACACATGAAAAACAAGAAATGAAGTACTTACGTGAGCCTGCTTTTTTTGTTGTCAACTGTCAATGACACTTAACCCTACTTTTTTTATACAAATGGTAGTAGTGACTACTAAGTAACTTTAAACTTTTTATAACTAAAATTTAAAATAATCGACCAAACCAAAAGAAACTATAAGAAATTAAATAAACTCGTAGACGTACTCG